GCCTCAGCCTCCCAAGTAGCTGGGATTACAGGTGCATGCCACCATGTCCAGCTAATTTTTGTATTTTTAGTAGAGATGGGGTTTCGCCATGTTGGCTGTGCTGGTCTTGAACTCCTGGCCTCAAGTGATCTGCCCACCTCGGCCGCCCGAAGTGCTGGGATCACAAGTGTGAGTCACTGCACCCAGCCCAGAATTCTCCACCCTAGTAGGACACCAGCCTTACGGAATTAAGACCCATTGTCATGACTTGAACTTGACCACCTCTGCAAAAGCCCTGTCTCCCACAGAGGTCACCTTCTGAGGTTACGGGGCGGTTAGGACTCTCACATATTAAATTAGTGGGGAAATGACTGAACCCCTCACTGCTTGGCATCCGTTGTCTGATCAGTTAAGAGCTTCGGGAAAATAGGTTTGTGAGAGGGTGAAGGAGGTGACACAGTTGTACCTTGGTCCCCTCCTGGAGAACAGAGCAGCCCTCCGTCCTTACCTGACATTGTAGACTCCACGTCTCGCAGGAACTTGAGGCGGGGGTAGGTGGCGCAGAGGCATCACTGTGGGGTGGGTGAGACGGTTTCAATCTAACATCAGCCTTTGGGAGCTGATCAGGTTTGTGGCTTTGTGGCCTCAGTTTCCCTAAAGATATAAGAAGAGCAGCTGGGCGCAGTGGCTCACGCCTGGAATCCCAGCACTTTGGGAGGCCAAGGCGGGTGGATCACTTGAGGTCAGGAGTACGAGACCAGCCTGGCTGACATGGCGAAACCCTGTCTCTACTAAAAATAAAATTAGCTGGGCGTAGTGACACATACTTGTCATCCCAGCTACTCGGGAGGCTGAGGCAGGAGAATTGCTCGAACCCAGGAAGCAGAGGTTGCAGTGAGCCGAGATTGTCACTGCACTCCAGCTTGGGCGACAGAGTGAGATGACAGAGTGAGATGACAGTGAGATTCCGTCTCAAAAAAAAAAAAAAAAAGCTATAAGAAGAGCAAAACAAGTATTCTCAACTAGGGGTGATTTTGTTCCCCCAGGGGACATTGGCAACCGCAGTTTTGGTTGTCACAGCTTGGGGGGAGCACTACTGCCATCTAGTGGGTAAAGGCAGGGACTCAGCAAGACACCCTACAGTGAAGGCAGAGGACAGCCCTCAGCGGGGATGCGAATGAATAGTGAAATGTGAATGGTGCCAAGGAAGGGAAGCTCCCCCCTCAGCAGCATCATTAGTCATGTCTGTCTGTGGAACTTTGCCAATAGAGAATATGGTTCTCGGCTCACCACAGTCTCCGCCTCTCGGGTTCAAGCGATTCTCCTGCCTCAGCCTCCTGAGTAGCTAGCACTACAGGCATGGGCCACCATGCCCGGCCAATTTTTTGTATTTTTAGTAGAGATGGAGTTTCTCCATGTTGGTCAGGCTGGTCTTGAACTCCTGACCTCAGGTGATCCGCCCACCTCGGCCTCCCAAAGTGCTGGGATTACAGGTGTGAGCCTCCGCGCCTGGCCAAAAATTGATATTTTAGATCACAAAGAAAATGTCAGCTGGGCATGGTGGCTCGTGTTTGTAATCCCAGCACTTTGGGAGGCTGAGGCAGAAGGACTGCTTGTGCCCAGGAGTTTAAGACCCGCCCAGGCAACATGGCGAGACCTCGTCTGCATTAAAAAAATGAAATGTCAATTAAAAAATTGTAATAGGACTCATTTAAATTTGGTGGAGACCAAAGCAAGATCTCTGTGGTTGAAGCACCCTTTCTGGAGGATTGGGGGAGTATTTATCAGAGAGAGAGAGAACTGCACACACCTGGTCATATTCATCACATTGGTGAGGCTTTTCCTACCACACGTGTCCCAGCTATGTGCCCATGTGCTCCTATTACAAAAAGACAGGAGGCTGGACACAGTGGCTCACGCCTGTAATCTCAGCACTTTGGGAGACTGAGGTGGGAGGATCAGTTGAGCCCAGGAGTTCGAGACCAGCCTGGGCAACCAGCCTGGGCAACGTAGCAAGACCCCATCTATAAAAAAAATAGAAAAACTAGCCGGGTGTGATGGCATGTGCCCATGGTCCCAGCTACTCAGGAGGCTGAGGCAGGGCGATTGCTTGAGCCTGGGAGCTTGAGGCTGTGGTGATGTGTGATGGTGAACTCCAGCC